TAGCTAGTGCGTCCATGATCCACACACAAAGCCAGCCTTCATACACCTGTAGTATTAGCCACTCAGAAAGCACACCCCTGCCTATGTGAAGTGATCCATCAAACAAAGCGTGCATTGTGGTGTAGTAGTCATAGGCCTCCACGCAAGCGCCTCAGCTTCAAACGAGTTTCTACTAGGCTGGCGGGCGTGAAGCATTGCAACTTCAGGTGGCAAGTGATTGCATGCGAGCAGTCTGGCAAAACAGGTATCTCAGGCGAGAAAATCGCATGAAGAAGTATCAGGCCAATTGAATGCTCCATCCACTCATGACCCATCATGCCGCTGAGACGCAGTAGTCTCTGGCAGGCCAAATCACCTTGGGGCTCAAATCTTGCTTGTTTTCAGTGCCCTTGGCTTGGACTGCATTCTCCGGCTCATTCACACCACGTGTAGGGGTTGCAAGAAACGCAAGCTGGTGACATTGAGAACGTGAACTGACCTTATGGGTGGCCTGCTGCCCCCTTTCAAACACAACAACCAGCCATAGCCACTGCCCACTGCCACAGTCACCAACAATCACCAACACCACACCCGCCCAGCGTTGCCGCTGCTACTGCTACTGGGACTGCTACTACGACTGCTACTACTGCTGCTGCTGCTGCTGCTACTACTACTACTACTACTACAACATCTTCATCGCCATCATAACCACCATCCTCTTGATCATCCTGTACAGCTCATACTGCTCATGCCGCACAACTCCAACCCTACTCCTCTGCCTCCTGCTACTTCTTCTGCATCTTCTATGCCTCCTGGTACAAGCAGCACTGGTTGCATGGATTCTCGGAGCTCAGGTCAGTGGCTGAGTGGCTCTCCAGAGGGCTCCAAAAAGGTGCCAAGCTCGTTGCTCTTGTTCCTGACCATGGAAACGCGAATACTCTTGAGCATCATCATGTAAGTTTGAAAGGCGCAGCGGTGCCAAAACAGATTATTCTTATGACAATGAATGACAACAATACTTCAACTGAACCACACCCGAATAAGAGCATGCTGAAGGTGTTGATGTTGACTTGATAACGAAAGCACGGCATCTTAACATTTCTTCTCGGCAAGATACACACTCCTAAGCGTGGGTCTGGCTTGCCAGGTTGACTTTGGGTCAAGGTTCAGCTGTAGGCATAGCAGAATACTAGTGGGGCATTTCTTCCATGTTGTTTTTCACTTCCTACAAACAGGACAAGTGCTGTTTGATGTTATAAAGTACTTCTACATAGCAGCTCTACGGGACATGATACTTCATTAGGTTCTGAATCAACAAGTCGCAGCTTCCATCCCCAGTCATGACAAAGACCTCCGCCACCACTAGAGCCAACAACCCCTCCCTTATAGGGTCGCTATTATGTTATATTAGTTTCCATGTTCTTTTCCATTGTCCCTACTGTAAAACCCCCATAATAGTCCTCTATATGATTCCTATTATACTATGGGAGTCTCCATTTTTCCATTATCCCTACAACAATAGCCCCTAAAGCCCTCAATCCTCGATGGGCCATCCGCGGAAAACTTCCTGGCTGGTGATGTTTCTGTCGCTGGCATAGGCATCGACCAAACCATACCTCCGACTCCCCGCTTGATATGTTAGGAGTTACAATACAACCCCCCCCGAATGTACCCCCCCCCAGGGTTTAAGGAGCTAATAAGGACTATATGGAGCTTAATAAGGCCTAGTAGGTTTCTAATGGGGCTCTGAATTTGGGGGGGGGGACATTTGGGGGGGTACATGTCTAACTCCTAAATATGGGGGTTTCCCCAAATTAGGGATCCTTTACTTGGGGCCTAGGGTTCCCAATAATGAGGATTATGGTGTTTTGGGGTCTATATTGGGGTCCACCTATTTTGGGAAACTACCATAGAGGGATAATGGAAAAGGAAAATCCTACAGGGCTATGTAGGTTTATAAAAGGATCACGGAAAAGGAAATGGAACCTACTAGATTACAGGGATTATATAGGGATCATATAAGGATGATGGAAAGAAAATGGTAACGGATAGTTTTTACGGTTCGCCAAGAACCAAACATGGCAAACCAGTACTCCCAGAATTGCTCGCAGCACGCCATCTGTCTGAACCTAGAGTGGCAGGAACGCAGATACAAATTCGGACTGTCCAGGGGGACTTACAGTAGAACTTAGGTCAACAACCCCTATAACCCATCTAGTAACCCTAATTATCCCCATTTTCTTTAACCTACTAAGTCCTCCACGGAGACTTCAGGCTCACAATTTGGCCAAGCTGCTTCAGCAGCAGGTAGTAAATGAAAACGTCAAACCTCGGAAGTGTACATTCAATGATTTTGTATTGTCTTTGAACATCTCTGCATCTGCCTGGCATGATTTCCATACGGTACAACTATAGATCAGGACGCCAAATACCAACAGTTGCTAGAATCAGTATCAAGTTCAAAATTGCTTTCTGAAAGTTGCAGGAAGCGCCTGGTGAACCCAAGTTGGTTGCAAGCAACCCCGTCCCAGCTGACTCACCTCCAACATAATCGGGCCTGCTGCAAGATGCTTCCATATAACTCCATATGCTGTGGTTGCATCTACTTTCAAGCTCTCGATGCATCATAAGAATGGCAGCAAGCGGGATAGCTTGACTTGCAACAAAGACAACAACATGCAACACATCTGGTAAGCAGTGCCAGGTGAAGCCCGTCTGTGTAGCTTCAGGGGCATGAAGGGCGTGGTTGACTGGCAAGCACGGATCATGTCCTCAGCTGCTGAGTTCATTCTCCCCCGCCACGTTTCTTTTTCAACAAAAGAGCCCTCAATCAACCTGTTCCAATCAGCCTGTTCCCTTTCCACTGCAAACGAGGATAGCCGGCTCCTTCCTGACACTGCAGGGAAGGCTTGTCTAAATCCATGTAAGGCTGAAAGCGTACTGAAGCGGGCGCCACGTCTCCGAAGAGCTGCACATGCTGCGCAGCTGCTGCAGCAAACCTGGCAAAAGTGCAATGAGCCTCCGAGCCACTTTGACAATTGGTGATCTTCTCTTGAAGTCATGCCTGCTTTTGCTACAATGCAGCTGTGTCAATTACCTCCGCCATTGCACTGATTTCACATTTCAGGCCCTGCTTTGTCTCCCTCGGCACAACCACGAGCCCGAGGGCTAGCCATGCATGGCCTGGCCTTCGAGCTTTGCGATAGTCGCTTGCAGCACTGCTTGTGGGCAGGACACCACGTAGAGCATGTAGTTCTGATAGATGTCTAGCAGCTGCGGGACCTTGTCTCTGGTAGACAACATCCCAGCTGCCAGCCCTAGCTCAGAAGCAGCGCCTCACAATCAAGCCTGAAGCCACTGGTATCCCATCTTTCCGATCTCGAGTTCATCCCTCCTCACTGGGCTCCACCGAGTGGCCTTCAGCACTCGCCGTGCCTCGATGTCCCACCTGTCGAATGGCCCAAGAGCAAGGATTGACTGGGCAGGCTGCGCCATAATTCTGAAAAGAAGGACAGTGCCAGCAGCACGCACTTTGCTTTGCTCGGACTCATATTACGCTCACAAGCGTTCCTTGAAGTCCCCTCTGCTCACTACCTGATCCCTTTCCTTTCTCACAGAAACAAACCCGTCAGCCTGGGTGGCATAATTACCACTCAATGGAGCTGCAATATTAGAACCAGTTCTCCAAGAGGAATGTCCTTTGCAGGTCTTGTCTTAGCACCCTGCCTGGCTTCTGAGAGTTCCGCCATTACTTCAGCGCGCGCTGCGCGAAGCTCGTCCTGGGAGAACGCACTGCCCCAAAGCTCATTGGAGCAGTCGTCACCGTAATGTTGACACTGCTTGTCACAAAGTCATAAGTAGAAGTAACCATAATTATGACACAGTGCTAGGAGATCTCCAGAGTGAAGGGTTCTTTTTGCGCACTCAGCAGACCAGAGATCCCTTGTGTGGGTGCATCCTTTTCAGATCTGTGACTTCCTATGTACGTGCGTACATGCGCGGCTACAAAAATCATGCTTTTCACTGTACCTCTTGTGGGTAGCATGCAGCAGAAACAACTTGAGGTGGTACAGCGCAAGGGCAGTACAACGACTTCGACAAGGAAAAAGTGCACTTCCTGAAAAACAATCCAAATAACGCCCGAACTGTCCAGGAGGTCCCAAAACTCAACCTCCCTTTTGCATCGCGAGGTTCTGAAGAGATTGAGCCGTCCGCTGAGCAAAGCTGGCCTCATGCACACCACCAGAAAGCTTAGAGCTCTGTGGTATTTCAGAACGTCAAGGTACGAGGAACAATCCGAAAGATCAAATGCAGTAAAGCCAAGCTAGGCCCCGGTTCCAGGCTCTGCAGTTGAGCAACCATTCGCGCCGAGCGCGAGGTGTTGCAGCATTCCAGCTTGAAGCGAGTCAGCCATGTGTGGTAGGTTGTCATTGAATAATACCTTGTGAGCAGCGTGTATGCCGAGCCCTACGCGAAACAGGTTGGATATAGCCTCTGGAAAGCAATTCCAAGCCAGGGCACAGCGGTGCCCGCCAATGTCTCCGAGAGCACTTGCTCCATCCCAAGCGCATCATCCGAAGATGCGGCGGCAATGTGTCATCTCGTGACGAGGCTTTCTTTTGAGGATATCCGGCGTGCGTGGTATGCAGTACCAGCATGGGCAGACTTAACCGAGTATTGAATCAGCACGAATATGCACAAATCATCACAAGTCTGCTTAGACAACACCACCAACTAATCAGCATCAGCGCCAATGCCCCAGCGCCTCATGTAGCCAAAAAGCTCGGAAGTGCGAACGACTAAGACAAAGCCCACTTCAAGATGCAAACAATTACTGTAAGGATACAGTATCAAGCGTAGCAGGAGGCTCGCCGAAGCTTTATTTTTGATGAGAAACACCGCGTCCACGTCTTTCCAGCTACAAGACACCTCACAAGTCTTGGGATCAGTGATCGGTGCGCAGCCGTTGTACGTCCACACCATGGCAACGTCACCTTCATGCCAGTTTGACAAGCACATAGCTAGAGCAGCTGAAGGGCTCCAGACGACAGGAGTTTCGGAATGAGCTTTGAAGAGTCTCCAGGCACATCGCTCAACTTGAAGGGGCGTCCTTTCGAGGTAGTCTTTGCGAAACGCCCCAAGCAGAACAGGGCAGCAGGGACCTCAGCCTTCTGGATGGACAAGGAGGCACCGTTCACCACCAGCTTGAGCACCTCCGGTGTCTCGGACTCTTCCAGCAGCACAGCGCGAACAGGCGCACGCACCAAAGTATCCTCGGAGCTAAGTACAGAGGCGAATTTCGAGAGAGGGAGCTTCGTCAAAGCGCCAGGATCTCTGGACCGGGCCGCAGACAGCGACAGAAGCTGGTGAGGCTTTCCCAGCAGAGAGAAATGCTTCATTGCATGGAAGCGAGCCAGTTGCAAGGCCCACGGCAGTACCGGGACGGTGCTCCTTTTTATGAGATCAAGGGCGTGCATTATTGCCACAGAGCGACTGCCAATCAGCACGTTATCGAAGTTGCCAGCAGCTGCCACGGATTCAAGGCGAACCACAAGATCCTGGAACTCTGCAATTACTTGGTCCAGATATCTCTCCGGCAAATCCTGGTTGCAGAGGGACTGGAGCAGCAGCCTTGCCGTCGAATCTGTCGAGCCGTTCACAAAGCTGAATCCCGGCAGCCGATACAACTCAGGCACCGAGGCTGCCAAGTTTGACAAAAGCCGTACTAGTGGGATGTCGAGTTCATCAGGCAGGAAGTCCTCACTTGACGCAAATTTCTTGATGCGCAATCCTGGTCGAAAAGCCTTGTGAATCATTGCAAGCAGGAGGGCATGCCAGACGTAGAACTGCCTTTCCAGGTTCACGGTCAAGTGCATGGAAAAGTCTTCTCCAGTACTGGCTTGATGCAGTGTGCCAAATGGCAAATACATCACATCACCGCCCTGCAGGGTGACGTTTACGCAGGAGACATCGGAGCTGTCCAGGATGCTTTGAGGCGGCTTTCCTGGGAACATCCAGCTTGGCACGTCGCACACCGACCACAGCTTCTGGCCTGGACATATTAGATCCCTTAAGAACTGCGCACTGCAGCTGATCCCGTACAGAACTAGGTGGCAACAATCTCAGTTCCAGCGGCCTGAAAGCTGCACCATGAAAGCGTCCATCACCTCAACCGTCTGCAACTCCCTTGAAGGAGAATTTCTACAACCAGGGATTTTTGGCCATGCATGGATATAAAATCCAAGGAGCATCAGAGTGGACGCCATAGCTGTAGGAGTGAGGCGGCGTCAGGTACATGTAAACATCCACCGGAAAGTCTCCCGCAGCATAGAGCTGCTTGGCGAGTCGGGCACCAGGCTCTGACCACTTGTGCAGAGAGTTGATCACCTTGCATCGCATCACAAGCCAACCCAGGAGCTGATCTCAAAACAGAAACATCAAAAATCTTCTGGCTGTCCGAACCCAAGCACCATGGAGAAGCCTTGCAAGAAGGCCTCCGAAACGTGTTGCAAGCTGTCGAGTTTCGATGAAGGCCGGAAACTCTTCTGGGTCACAGGGTGGCGGAGCGTCTCAACGACTTCGTTGGAGCTTCCTTGCTCCCTGATCCATTCAGCAACATGATCAAGCGAGATCGGGACCAGGGACTCCGGATGAGGGAAATGGGCCCAGGTCTTCTCAAAGAATTCGTTGAAGAAAGCGTCTCGGGTCAAAGGATGAATCCACTGCTCCAGGATGTCAGCCCCTCCGAAGCTAGCAGAGCTGGCAGCTACAAACAGGCACGTGGCCCAAGCAGGGCCTACGTCCATCATGTGCCTGTACATGAGGACTCCGAATACTCAAGATCTGCAATCCTCTCGTGGCCTTTCCTTCGGAGTTCTGACAGCACACAGCTGCGATACTTCTCCCAGGCTTCCTTTGTGCAACTTTCCTGCGAGAGCTTCCCGTCCAGGAAAGCTGACCGATACCAGTGAATGAAACACTGGTCGTAAACCTCACGAAGCTCCCCACAATTCTTAGATGCGCATGCCACTGCCTCAGACAGGCTGCAATGCTTCTGCGCCATCTGGGCAATACTAGATATCTCTCGAGCCTGATGTCGCATGGATCATTGAACGACTGGCATCTATCAGATCAGACTGCTGTCTATTGCAAGTAGAGTATATGTTTAGGGATTTGGTTAAGGGCAAGAGATTCGCCCAAGGGCTCTAAGTGGCATCAAACGTGTAGAAAATTCTTACCATCAGCAGGACAGCTTGTTCTGATGACTACAACACAGCGTCTGTCCTGAAATTGGGACTCAAGGGATTGCCTCATCAGCACAAAGAACCTTCATCTGTAGGACGGACTTATGAGGCTGTACCCAATGCAACAGGATCGCCGCCCTGCAAACCCCACAACAACTTGACCATGACCTTGGCAAACTTCATGTGCGCATGTGAATCCAGGGAGCTGCTTGAGGCGAATGACCTGACAAAATAAAGTAAGATTGCGGTGGAGCGTCCCGCTCCATCGATAAGCTCATCACCTATGAAATATGATGCAAATGAAAATGCATTACGCAAGATGGGCACGACTTGTACGTAGTAAACTCCAGCTCAATGCTTCCAGAGACAACTGTCAGGGCAGCAGTTGGTTTTGTATCGCAAATACTTTGATCTGCATCTGTGCGAAGCTGCTAACAACTCCCTTTGGAGGTCGGGACGCACGTGAGGCACGTGCATTCGACATGCTGGAGACATTCCTCCTACTCCGAACTACTGCCGTCTCGCAAGAGACAAGCAACACAAGCACAACAGTGCACGACTGCGATCCATGCTTCAGGGCAAGGCTTGGATTTCAGCAACAAAGAGACCAGACAAACAAAACATAAATACGGAACAACAATTCTACAATTCTGGCTGCAGTGTGTCCGTTGGACTTCAAGTCTAGCTGGGTCATGCCAGTGATCCGCGCCATCACAACGCAGCAGCCACGAAGTCCTGCCTGCCTCCGAGCAGGTTTCCGGATCTCAGGTTGGAAATTCATTGTTCTGGGTAGTTATGGACGTTTCGGTCGCGCATCCTGCTAGCCCATGCTTGAGTCGTGTGTGGATAACATTAGGGCCACAGCACAATTTTGAAACTGCCCCTAGCATGTAGTTGTTTCCGAAGGCGCGCTCAGAGTGTCATGTCTTCGTAAATACCGGTTGGTGACACTATGACCGCGCAATGGCAATCATCCTTATGACGCAAGCCTGGACAACATCCCTCCTCTTTCGTTGCTCTGCACTGCCAATGCTTTGCTACTCTACTTTCTGGAAGCAATCCCTTCCCAAGGCTTCATCCAGTATCATCCAAACAAGCGCAAGGGTCTAGCTGCTTCAGTGGGCTGGGGGTGTTGTACAGGTGCCGTCTGTGAACCATGGCTCCCACGAATCAAAGAAGTAACTGCTGACCGTGAGTGTGTGCTGTGCATCCAGCTTTGGCATCCATCAGTTCAACGAAGCTAAAAATATCATCCTCATGTATGACCAGGCTTTCAAGGATCGACCGAGTCTAAGTATTTCGTGTGTGGCCGTCAGAGGTGAATGGTCCAGGTTACTATACTCTATGTGTATCAGGACCACCCAAGGTAGAAGGAGCCTTGGACAACTGACAGTAACCAGCTTCCTTGTCAGAAACAAGTGGTACGTACTTGTGATAATCACAATATAATAATACTGCGGCGAAAAGTCTGCAGTAAGAACAACCATAATAGAACTCTTCACAGGCGAAGGGATTAAAGGCTCCAATCCTCGCAGTCATCGTGTGACCGTCGGGCTCTGAGGGTCCTCGCTCACGCATGTCCCCGAGGCAACACAGCCAAAAAGCTGTTCAGACAAGGGTTAAACATGAATGGGGCAAGAACTGCAGTCAGTTTTTCACTTCCAAACTGAAAAGACATGGGATTATGTCGTGAGGTTCTACTAAACCGACGACAATATGTAATCCACTGCCCACATGTTGCGTACCCTAGGTAGCCCTAACACTGCCATCTCTGGCTTCAACGTGGGAGTCTCAAATTTACCTCCATAGCATCCCCGGTCAGAGCCTCCATAATCCTTGGGTTATCCTAAGGGCGATTTGGTGTCTATCCTTCTGTTACGAAGCAGGTATCAGTGTAGGACACGAATGTGATGTGATCTTGACGGTCTCCAGCATGTTGTGCCTGGGGCCTCCCTGAG